ACTTCCTGGTTCTTCCTCTAGTAGAAGAGCAAGGCCTCTTCCCCAAGGCAGTGGGACAGAAGAACCTGAGGAGCAGCTAAGGAGGGTTGTGTCTCAGGGCCTCACTGAGTTTTAGGAGTTACATCGCTCTGGCGTTCTCTTTGGTGTTCTAGGGGTGAGGGGGTGGGGGGATGAATACTCAACAGATCTAGTTTTACAAGTCCAAGCAAAATTAAATTTCACCTACAGGCTGATCCTGATCTCATCTGCAAGGTACACAAAAAGTGGCAGCCAACCGGTGCACCACCTCTTCCCGAAGTGCCGCGTTAGCCCCTGGCTGATGATATAAGTCAAGTCTCTCCCCAAGGGGCCCTCATTTCGCTGGTGGATTTCTACAGGCGAATGTGGAACTACAAGGCTGACCCTTCTAGGTTCCCCCAATGCAAGAGGGATCTTTGAAGTATAAAAAACACCCTGGTAGCCTTGCCTGGGTGAGAAAAGCTGGCTCTGCAGGCAATTCTCCAACACCACCCACCCCAAGACAGAAAATCCCAATTGGGAACAATGTTATTCTAGAGCAAACTTGAACCTAATCTAGTTTCTATACTTTAGCGGGCATTTTTTATTTTCTGCCCAGGATCTTCTATTCCATTTTTTTCTAGTAACAAAATTCAAATTTGCTTTGGAAGCCATACCTCCCCACTCTTGCCAGTTGTCATCTGAGTGAGGCTGACTCCAGCTCTAGCCAGAGGTGAGCATGTGACCCAGGCACAAGCTGAAAGCAAATTTCGTCCCCCAGCCACAGAGATGAACAGGTCTAGAACATCTATGGACAGCTAAGAGGGGAAAGTCATCCTTGGGGGGATGTAAGCCCAGCGCTGCCCCTGGGCCTATGCTATGCATACTACAAGTGGGAGCAGAGATTATGGTGGTGTCCCTTGAGCCCCAGTTCTGGCTGTGCTGGGTCCTTCTTGGTTTAATTGCATAAATCTCCCCCTGCCACATACGCGTGCATGTGTTAGGTGTATTTGCAAAAATGTTTTTAAGGCACTGAGCACTGTTTCCTGTCAGTTATTTGCCTAACAAATTGCCTAACAAAGTCCTAATATACAAGTTAGTCATCTGTGCCCATATCGTGAGTAACAAACACTTGTGATCCACCTTGCCACTGATGGTGACTGCTTTGTGGTCGAGAACCGCTGTCCTAGGGCAGCCTGACTGCACAGACGCTAAAAGCACATGAAAAGCACACACTTTAACTCTTTTGCCACCTCTGCTCAAGGCTAATACTGGGTATTTCCTTCCTGGGAACAGCACTCACTGTGGCACATGTGTGTCATCCTCCACTGGGCACCAGGCTGCCACCTCGCACGTCTTCACTGACCCACTGAAAGGCACACATCTGCCAGTTGAGACTCCTACAGAGGTAAGGGGGATCCAGGTTCACAGGGGTCTCCTCCTTTCTACCTCTGTGTGGTAGAAGGTTGGAGGCCCACCATAGCATCCTATGCAGCTAATGCCCAGGCAATGTTCAAGAACTGGAATCGGAGGAAGACAGTCACCTGAGTGCCGGCCATATATCTGCCAACTTATGGATGGGATGATGTGAAGTCACAGATCTGGCCAAGACATGGGATGGCTTCTAGGGGTCACGCAACAGAGGTGAGTATAGAGAGGGTCCTGGGGCCCAAGTTTTGATACCAGGCTTATCCAGGGTCAGGTGAAGGAACTGAGGTTTTTTCTTTATCCCTGAGATTTCTCTATCAGAGAAGCTGTACAGGGGAGGTGATCTTTGTTGGGGGCTGCCCTCCCCAGGTGGCTGGAGGCTCATACCATTGCTGTGGCTGCCTGTGGAGCCAGCAGTGCAGTTGGCGTCTGATTCACAAACAGTGTTCTTATCTGGAATCTGGAGAAAGAAGAACAAGTGAAAACAAGCTCCATGTGGCCTAGCCCCTTACACAACTGGACAGGCATGGGGAGAATGGGTAAGGCCCAAGGAGCCACCTACCTCAGGACAGACGCCCTGGGTCTGGTTCATGGTAATGATCATGTTGGTCATAATGAAGAGGGAGTTTTCCTCCTGCAGAGTGGAGAGAGCACCCTCAGAGTCAAGCAGAGCCAAAAAGACAGATGTTCACTTAATAGGACAATGCAAAAAATGGTCTTATTATGGTCTCTTATTCTGCCATATGGAAGTTTACAACCTAATTGAAAGCAGAGACTCAAATATCAACTTGTACACCAATGTTCATAGCAGCATTTTTCACAATAGCCAAAAGGTGGAAATGACACAAATATCTGTCCTGGTCTATCCATACAATGGACTATCAGTCAGCCATAAAAAGGAAGGATGCACTCACACATGTCACAAGATGGATGAATCTCAAAAATATGCTAAATGCAAGAAGCCAGACACCAAAGACCACATATTCTACGATTCCACTCCTATGAAATTTCCACAACAGGCAAATCTATAGAGACAGCCAGTAGATTAAATAGTTGCCAGGGGCCCTGGGGAGGGACAAAGGGGGAGTGACTGCTTTATAGGGCTTTCTTTGGGGGTAAGAAAGCTGTTTTGGAACCAGATTGAGGTGGTGGTTGCAAGACTTTGTGACTGCACTAAATATTGCTGAGTTATCCATTTTAAAGTGGTTAACTGCTATTAAGTGAATTTTACCTCAATTATAAAAAATAAGCTACAACCTGAAACGGTTCCTCAATAAATCTTGACTTATTGAGGGCAAAGAGCCAACAACTGCTCAAAATATCTTTTGCTAAATAGACTACCTCGGAGGTATGAAGGCATGAGGCTTCAGGCTCGGTGCCTGTGGCTCAAGTGGCTAAGGTGCCAGCCACATACACCTAAGGTGGTAGGTTCAAATCCAGCCTGGGCCCGCCAAACAACAATG